GGGGGGGGGGGGGCATTGGCTAATGTAGTGAAATAATCTCAAAGCGTAACTGGCTTAAAGTATGTTTACACTGATACACTAATTAAGGTATCTCTCTGGTGATTACTTAGCCAGTCAGTTTAACAACTTCTCTTTCTGGTAAACTGTGAAGCCTGCAGCCTGAGACGAGCAAGCGTGTGAGGGAACTTCAATAAGAATTGCCAGTGTCCACATGCTGTGGGGAGAAATAAATTGCAAGTAATGGACTCTGAGATCGCTGAGATGTTTATCAGACTAAATGAACAGAATCACACTGGAGGGATGTGGGGTGCTGCATGTGTGACAACATGCCAGAAAGAGTCCCGATTAGGAATGATGGCTGCCATGAATTTATGTATTAAAAGTTGGAGTGAAACTATGACTGATTATTTGGGGCAATCACTTCCATTACACTCCAAATGTGTGTCAGTCGAGCACGCTCTCTCTCCTTCTCCCCTGCTGCTCTCACTGTAAAAACAGATCCTCATAAACACACAATACATATGGCAGGCACTACCAAGTTATTGTTTCCTGTAATTCAAAACAAGGATGGGATTGTGCTATTTTTGTGCTAATTAGCTACTGGCCATGTCCAAAAAGTGGAATCAAAGTGACCGCAATCATCTCTCGCCTACTTAACAAGAGCGGGTGAGGAAACCATCACAGCTTGACTTAACCAAAACCCTCCACTGGCAAATCCATAAAGGGAAGGAAGAACAAGGAATTAGGGAGATTTTCTGTCTTCCAAATACACAAGCCAGACGCCAATTTATCTCTCTTCTCTTATTCTCTCTCTTTCCATTTCCCCCTCGCTTTCCTTCTATTTGGGCTCTTACAATTTTTTCGCTTTCCCTCTCTCACTCTGCGTGATTGCATCCATATGCTCTCCAGGGATAGATGGGGTCAACACCCTACTTACTCACGCCACAGTGAGGCACTGACACTTGTGAGAAAGCCCTTGCACAGTCTCGTGCACATGCACACGTACACACGAAAGTACACACATGCATTACCAGTGTGATTGTCTCCAATATGAAGCAGGCCTAGACTGTGTAGCCTCTGTGCTTAGAGGAGAGGATGGGCTCTTGGAGTTTCATGCCAACGCTTAATTCCGCATCATGAACGTATGGAGTATGTTACTCTGCAGCGATCCACCTCTTCCCCCTGATACATTTAGGACTGGCCCCTGAAAAGATCTGGCATCAATTAAGTGGCGCTCAGAGGAACTGGGCTTGATGGGGCCCAATGGATCCTTCTGCCTTCAATCCCCTCTTTTGTTAAGCAAAGCCAGGAGAGGTCGTAAATTTGAACATGAAGACAGCGTGCAAATTGCAGTCACACTTGCAAGAGAAGGGAATCAAGGCCAGGAGAGGGAGAAGGAATTAGGCTGCCCTCCGCCAGTGGTCCAAATCCTTTCCTCTTTCCATCTCAGGAAAACACAGCACAGAGACACACGCAGATATGTGCAACCAGCATGTGTTGTTCACCACACAGTTGTGGCTGTCTGCCCTCTATGCACAGCAAAAAAACAGATGAACACACCTACAACCAAACACGCAAAGGCACACAGGCAAACACGAATATTTTGAGCCACCAAGGAAACATCATAACAGTTGCTGTAAACACAAGCAGTTCAAACGGTTCACTATCCACATACTGTATTTCTTCATCTTTATTCTTATGTCCCTCATTCTGTGCTAACTCACTGTCCCTGCTCTCACCACACACACACACACATGATTGAAGGACATCGATAAAATCTGCTATAATGAACCCCTCCCCTAGACCTTGCCAGTGACCTTTGGGAATCCGATTTACTCTGCCACATCTCTGATCATATCTCTGCTGTCACTCATAAATTATGGCAATATGACAATGGATGATGCATCTACTCAGACCTCCACTGACGCTCAGTGTATATTCAGCCATGCTATCCACATCCATTTCTCTGTATGTGGGAGAAAGATGAGAACTCTTGTGTGAATACTGAATGGCATTGACACACAACTAGGAACAAGAGTTTCATTAGCTTTAAAGCTAAATGGGCAGCTTAACCCAGCTCTATCCTTCATCCCGACTTCTATCAAGCTGCTGAACTCCAATACTAAATCATATATAGGGCATATGTAATAAACAAACCAGCACTGTAGCACTTCTTATAGTTTCTTACAGTCTCTTTTTAAGCTGCCACATTGTCATTGTTAAAATGCAGTTCCTTCCATGTTTTAAGATGTTTTTATGTTGATGTTTATTTGTTTTTTGTGTGTCTGTTGTTGAGGTATGCTTGTTTCCGTGAAGCAACAAACTGTAGCACTGTGCCCAAGACAAATTTCCTCTCGGGGACAATAAAGTTAATTCTATTCTATTCTATTCTATTCTATCATGTGACCACGACATCCGGAGTTCTCATGTGGCCTGAGTCCTTTTCCAAAGATACACTGAAGAATAGTTTGACAATTGCTCTCATTTGCTTTCTTGCTGAGACTTGAATGTGAAGATGGATACCAGTCTTGATTCTGTACAATAAATATGAAACCACAACCAGCAGCTGACTAACATAGCTTAGCACAAAGACTGGAAATGGGGAAACGGCTAGCCTTGGCTCTGTCCAACAGTAACAAAATCCATCTACCAGCACCTATTTGTTGTTTTTACACTTTGGTTTTTGTATGGATTAAACAAACAATATATAACGTGTTGATTACTGAGGTTTAGAGAGTTTGTGCTAAGCTAAGTTAGCCGGCTGTTTGCTGTAGCTTCATATTTAACGGACTATATAACTCTTGCCAGGAAAGCAAACAAGTGTCTCTGCCAAAATGTCAAGCTTTTACTTTCAGGCAGAGCTCCGTGTTCTTCAGTCTTACATTTCCAGTTTACTTTGTGGTTTCTGACCCACTGTGCTAATGTGAAAAAGTTTTGTTTGTATTTTTACCCAGACGAAGACGAGGATGACGAAGAAGACGAGGACTTCGAAGACGATGACGAGTGGGACGACTAGTGAAAATGTCTTTCTTCAACTGTGGTCACGCCGCACCTACCGCTGACACTAAAATATCTTCCAGCATCTGACTAAAATTGTAATGTAAATGTTGTATGAATTGGCTGTATATTTATTTTTGCCTTTCTGCTTTTTGTTTTTTATGACTATTATCATTAATCTGTGCAATACCTCATCCGTTAAATCTGTAGCGTTCGTCACACACCCTCATCGTTAAAGACTCTACACTTTCGCCAGGACATCCTGTCATTAGAAAGCACTTAACACCGCCATCAGCACAATGTGGAGACGCAGCCGGCTTCATGTCAGTATCAGTAATCAATAATATAAAACACTAGCTGCTCCACTGAGAAGAATCGGAATTGGAGTTTTCATGTGCTCCTTTGGAAATATTTTTCTGTGTTCATTTGTTCGCGTTTTCATTCCTTGTTGAAGAAACTGAAAAGGGAGACGTACGTGCGACCAAACAGGCAGGATCCTCTTTGTGTTAGACAGTGGTCGGTTTAAATGCGAGATAACACTATTTTCTTACCGTGCTTCTTTTCGTACCTCCGAGTTTCCTAATAAACAATAGTTTAGTCGTGTTATTTTTTTCAGAAATCCTTTGACCAAATTGCGGCGGCTCGGTCTTCTCATGGATTTCCAACTTTAATTTTTTATGACATTAAAGCCGTTTATTTGCACACAGTTTATATGATAGTTCAGTTTTGTGTTTTTCAGATGTGAGTTTTGTCAAATAATTTTTTATTTTATTTCAAGCAGGTTACAGTGACGATGGAGAGTTTTAGAAGCTAAAGGTTTTGAAATATCTTGACCTTTAAATGGGACTACAAACATGACTGACGATGTTTCAGTTTGTGACTTCATTTGGCTTAATGCAAAAACACGTCTACTCACACAACACTGTGGCATTTGTGAAATGATGGAAGTTTTGTTCTTAATGTCTGGTTGGTTGTTTTTGTTGTGGCATCATTCTGTTATTTCCTGCTGGAGGAAACATCAGCAGCGCTCTGGTCAGTATTTCACACATATAACATCACGCAAAGAAACTAAAAGATTAAAAATTCATTCATCCTCTTCCGTCCTTCAGTTAACAAACTATAATTTTATGCAATGCGACTGTAAATGTCTCCTTACGGAGAATTATAAAAAAAGCAAATAATGAACCAAATGTGGCATTTGCAAGCAGCTTGTGGGTTTTGCGATGCCTGTAATCCTCCGTCTGTAAACGGTGTAAAGAAATAACCAACGCTCGTTTTAACTGTTCGTCTTAGAGTTTTTACCGTCCTCCAGCGAGGCTTAATGCTGCATTGAGAAGCCGAGATACTGACAGAGAACCTGTGAAAAGGGGTTGGGGGGTGGCAGGGTTGGGAGCAATGAGAATACTAAATTGTATACTTAAATAAATGTTAATATTTACAGAGAAATCTTTCTCTTGTTTTTTGTCAAAGTGCTTCTGCTTCACTGTACACGTTTGGTTTCCTTTATTCTATGAACACAAGTTTGGTATAAGATTCCAATTCCATTTATGGAGGCACACATCCACAGTGTTAATATAAAAACATATTAAACAATATGCCTGTGCGTCTGTTTGGGTCAGGGTGAACTCCAGACACAAACTCTAGTGCAGCCCAAACAGGTGCTCTCCGGTCCACCTGGAAGGGGTGGTCTTTGACTGCTGTCAAGTGAACTCTGGAGCAGTTAATTACTGGTGTGAACACCATTGGAACCAGCCCAGGAAGTGTACCATTGTGTGTCATTTCATTGGTTAAAAATGTTTTCTCTTGCTGTTGTGACTGGTGAGCTAGTTTACTCATCAGAGCCAGCTATGCAGTGCAGATTGGACCATTGGACGTCCGCATCAATACGTCCAATTTGTACGCCTTAAGACAATCCTTAATTATGTATAATTTTAAGCCTTGATATAACTTAAACGAGTGAGTTATATCAAAATGTACCCCCCATACAGTTGTCGTGAACGGGGAGCTATAGACACAAAAAACTTTTTTTGTACAAAGCTGTAAAGTTGAGCATTTTAATACGGGGCCTTATGGAGATCACAACCTATAGTATCCTGACCACTCACATTCCAACACTCACTGTATTAAAAGAATAGTGTTCCCTCGCTGCTGACAGTACACAGCAGAATAAATGTGTGTATGTAAATAGGGCCATAATGAGTCATTTTAGTGAAAGGGCAGCAGGAAGTTCTCCTCAGACAGACCTCCTGCAGGGTCTCTCAGCACTCTGTAAGTGAAGTATTTAATTTTCCTCCAATTAAACTTCGTCTGACATTTACGTGGCATTTTATTAAAGATGTTAAGTGTTGTAATGAGGGGTCACACACGGAGACTTAACTCCCCTTAATTTTCTCCCTGAGGGGCAGTCCATATTTACTTTTAGCAGCTGTTTAATGAACTTCAGTAACATTGTGTAAGCAGACTGGATTAGAAACTGATTCATGTACAGTTTGATGGATCTGAAGCTCTGTTGTTTCTCTGCCAGCTTATATTAGAGCACATCAAACCTAACTGAATAAAAATGTAAGTAATAAATGTGAATGATAATATTTATTTACTGATACTCCTGTGTCCGGATTGATATCACCTCAATCGGAAGGGTTTATCCTCTGTACCATTTTAGGACATCTCAAACTTGTTAGACTTTAATCAGTCTGAGCTGAAAAATGTCAGATCACACTGCCAAACTAGACATCATTGTTGATCAATGCAGCAACAGAATCCTGACTCTCTTACTGCACTGCCCATTTCTCACCATAAAACATGTAACTTGCAGTGTGTCATCCACCAGCTCCACACTCTCGTCCAAATGTGGTCACTTCTGGCTCCAACAAAACAACATGGCGACAGCCATAATGAACAACGCATGGCTTCGAAATGGTTGTCAGTACCTGCCATCCCTGGGTGCCCTCCATCTCTGGGTGCCCTCCCATTTAGTTGTTTCTCCCAGCAAACCTCCGTAATTTGCATTGCCCTCAAACTTGATTAGTAATAGTAATAGTAAAGTTGATGTTTACGTATTGGTCCAATCCATATTCCATAGCTATGAAACATCTGTCTCCTCCCTGCGCTGCACCCACTATCAATCTGGGGACCCCGATTCAGTTTCCACCAAGAGCCAAGTTCTCATGCTCTTAAAATGTTGTTGGCTAAAATTTGAAATTGTTGTCAACTGTTTGCTAGCTTCGTTGTTTGTAGCTAGCAGGGCAGCTTGTGGCATGGGTGGTATATTTGGGGACAAGTAACAATTAGCCGTGACAAGAAAAATTATGTAAATGATTGATTATGGTTATTAATATTGATTGTGATTATTCATACAGTTAAACTGGTATCAATTGTTAAGTGGATATTGTTTTATCTATATCTCTTGGGATTCAATATTGTGACTCAAACATCGCTTAAAAGCATTTGATGGTTGTTAACAAGGAGGATACAGTTACTTACATAAAAGAGGTTTGAAGTAAAGACATCAAAACCAAAACTTGTTACCATTGCCCCCGGCCTCCCCTATTCAATTGTATGTGTTGATGGACAGTAACCAGCAGCTGCAGTCAGCTCACATAACAGCTCTCTGTGTACGTTTGTAGTGGAGTTTAATCCCTCTGTGAGCGGTCTTTATTAGTGAGCTGATCCTCCTCTCAGGTCACCAACACAGGAAGCTGCTCTATGAAGTGTAATTATGTCTTTAAGAGGTGATGTGTGTAACAAGAGAATCTGTTTAAACCACCCACTGATGTGGGATTTACAATTTCATAAAAAACTTAATCCAGATCCAGATGGCCTAATGGGTACAATACGTCATAAGCCTCTGAACATCGTTTCCTGTCTGTGCCTCTGCTCTCATTGTCAAATAAAGGAAAAATGCCACTCAAACAAAAGTTACAAAAACAACACCTCTAACTTGCAGGTCTTCTTCATTTAAATTAAAGCGGCTGCTTTATCAATCAACGTCCCGCTTTGCAAACTGATCTCAGGAGGTTTTACATAAATTAATAATCCCAAAAAATAATGAATTCTAAGAAAGCAGCCTTTTTCGCAACAATATTACTAAATGTATTACCAAAATTTAGCCAGTAGTTTTGAAAAAAACTTTTGTAAACAATTGTCCGTTATTGTGTCAGGAAACATCAGAAAAGTATTCATGCGTTTAGTTTCAATGAACATGTAGACTGAGTCAATCATAAACTTTATTCCTCTACACATCAGTATTCACAGTAGGTTTCACACAGTAACAAAATACAATACAATTTGAAACACACAGAAATGCAGTCTGCCGCTACGCTGTGTGACGAGTTAAATAAGATGCTGTTAAAAAGTGACATTTGGCGTGAAATAAAAATAGAACATTTCAATACAAAGTGAGAAGAGTTCAAGTGTGATCAGGAGGTGAGTTCAGGCCTGTGACAGATCCACCTGAAACGACAAACATCAGACATGTTAAGTTACAGCTGATGTAAGATGATGATGAAGATGTTTTATCTTTTGTCTGTCCTTCCATCAAAGAAAAGATCAAAGATCAGATTGTGTCTTTTCTAAATGAAATTGTCACTTTGACTCTGTTTGATTATCTGTCTCCGCTGAAGGTTTTCATGAGTTGAGAAACATTTGATCTGGTTTGAGCTGCCTGACTTCATAATTTGCATTTTGTTTTCGGGGGATGCAGTGTTTCCTTTTTGTACCCAGGGCATCATTTTATCAAGTTTCTGTTCAATCATATTGTAATGGTATGATATTTAAATTAAAAACAGTTTTTTGTCCAAATTAATTTCATGAAAGCGACTCATAAAACTCATTTTGTTTGCAATATTATTATATCGATATATGTCCCTCATTTTCCCGTAAAGCACTTTGGACCAACTACGTTGAGTTTAAAGCTCCCTGGTGTCTCTCAACACGCTGTGTTGTTTTCATCACGCTTTCTCTCTTCCCAGCAGCTCTCTGAGCCATCAGTCTTATCAAACAGCAGTGAAGAAGTCAAACTATTTATAACCTGACAGAGATTCAAGGAATTCACAGAGTGACAGAGGCTGTCGTCTGATCACAGCAGGCGTCCTCACTGAGGGGGTCTAATGGCTTTTGGAGGCTAAATTATGTCTGTGATGCTTTCACTCAAGCAAAACAAAATTCCATCAAATCTCAAACATAGATCTGTCAGTGACAGAGAGGACTCACAGGGAGTCTTACCCTTTTTAAGGATGTGATGCTGCTCCCACGAATTGCCGCCATCAGGTCATCGCGGCTTGACCTTTGTGGCGGTGGCAGGTGTGATGATTCATCTCGTCTCTTCTGCAGAGATGGCTTCAAGGAGTTTTTCAGATCTTTGAAAATATCTGCGCTCTCCTTCTCATTGGCACCATTCTTGAGCTTCTTTGACTTGGGTTTCCTTTGGTTTGACTGAGTCTTCACACTATTCGAGCCTTCATGCTGTTTGACCATTTCAGCTATCTTCCTTGTTGGTGGGTCTAGAGACATAGAAGGAGGAGGATGATTTCTGTTATGATTTTCAACAGTTTTAGAAGTTTGTGACGGCTTCTTTGGTGGTCTTTTTTCTGCAGATGAACCAGAACCTTGTGCTGACACCTCTGAAGGACTCTGTTCTGTCTTCTCTTGGAGCCTCCTTTGTCGTTGTTGGTCTTGGTTGCGTGTCAGGATGCTGGTCGCTGTCATCCTCGGGCCCGGTAGGTCGAACTGATAACCGAGCTTGAGGAGAGTGGTGTTTTCCCTCAGCAGCTGGACCATCTCCATCTCCACCTTCCCCCCGCAGATGTGCCTCTGGTTGTGAAAGCGAAGCTCCACCAGTGTTCTGTTGTGCTGCAGCGCCGCCAGCAGAGCCAGGATACCCTGACCAGACACGAAGTTGGACTCGATGTTCAAGTTTCTGATAAACTGGTTTTCACAGAGCATCTTGGAGATGGCGAAAGCAACCCGGTCATCAGCATGGGTGTTGGCAAGGCTGAAAACGTGAACGTGAGTGTTTGTGCACAGGGCCTCGGCGAAACGAAGCAAGGTTTCCTGGGAAATGTCTTCTATGTTGTTGAGGTTGACTTCACTCATTGTGGGATCATCACACAGGATCTGCTCCAGAGTTTTGTCGATGACTGTCGGGTTTCCACTTGCTCTGTCAGTGGTTGCATTCAGGTTTTGGTTTATGGTTTCAGTCCTCCTCGATTCACTCCTCGAACATTTCGACAGACCAATCTTCTGAGGAAATTTATTTCTGTTCGGAGCCTCTTTTTTACACTGATCTTTCTTTTCCACCTCATCTTCCTTTGCAACCTTTTTGCTAAAGACACTTTGCACTTTCTTCCCCTTTTGTGAAATCTTCTTCCTGTCACTGTCTGGAGTCTTGCTGGCGTCACTGGTGGTCACTGTCACTCGCTCCCCTCTGCTCTTATCTGGGTGTCCCTCCTGCGCACGATAACAGGAGAGAAAATTAGGTCGAACCCTGACATTCTACAGCCTCTGACTTTTAATTAAGAACCCTCTCCAACACTGACAGTCATTAAAGCTGCCATTTCTCTGACAGTCTTTATTTTTAGACTGTTTTCCAGCAACATATTTACGTAAAGTATATACATGTGATGCTTTTTACATATTTTTATATATATTATATGAGTGGGTTTATGTTTAAACACATAATAAACATGCATCTAAAATTATAGATTATAGAACATAAACATCTAGGGACTCTTGACTTTTATTCTCTAGTATGTATTGAGCTCAGTGTAACTGGATAGCGTCTCCTATTAGAAGGTGTTTCAGACTCCATACCTCCAGTTTAAAACTTATGAATTTGTAAGCCAAAACTGAGATGACCCCAATGACATCACTGTAAGAGCCAAATCTGTTGTTGAAATAACCAGAGCGCAACTGTTATTTACTGTGTGTACACAGGGTCTCGCCGTGCTACAGTCGAGGACTCAGGAACAAAGGTAGGAAGTCACTGTTCTCAACTGTTTTGATCCCAGAAGGGCAAAGGGAAAAGGAAAGATTTCTCAATCGAAGGTAACGCAAACGCAGTTCTATTTGACTTTACCTGTTGAGCTACTGTAGTTTCATACAGTGTTCCTCTTAATACAATAATTGTTTTAAACAGTGCCAATGGTTAAAATTACTCAAGTTTACTCTGGTGCTGGTGTTAATTATCAAAGGTACTTCTATCTCTTTGCATTATTGTCAGTAACCTTTTCAAAGGTTTTGAGTGATATCCTTCCTTTTAAGTTTCAGTTAATTTATATTAAAATCAGTGACTTCGCTGCAAGCAGATAATTCATCACATTCAATGTTTAGTCAACTTTTTTTTCGGTCAAAGTAGCAAATCATGGGGTGCAACTCTTCTTGGTGCTATAAAACCAATGAACTGAAAGTCAGCTGAAAAAGAGGTTTATTTTTTAGGTATTATTTTTGGAAAACAAGGATAATAGACAAACATGGATGTTGTGAAAAGGATCATTTGAATTTGGTAGTTTCTAAAATCTCTGGTCCTTTATGGAACCAAAAAGTATACTTGCTCTGTAGTTAAAACATGCTGTTATGGTCTTTTAGGTGTGTTATAGAAAGCTTGCAGGCTGAGTATTGATGTCCGCTCTCACCTGTCTGCCGTTGGACTCCATCCTCTCGTCCTGCACCAGCTTCTTGTTCTCGTCCTCCCAGTATTTCAGCAAAGAGTCCCTGTCGAAGGTCCCCGTTGGAGTTTTGGCAGTCTGATCTTTCTGTCTCAGGCCAATGGGGATGTTGTCATCAAGGTTGGCCAGCTCCCTCTCCAACTCCTGGAGTTCCTCAGACGACAGAGTGGCCAGCAGCTCGTCTTCGTCCACTTCCTCGTACTTCTTCAGCTCCTTGCTGTACCCAAAGGTACTCATGGTTCTCTGCTCGTTTTAGGACTCTATGCACACTTAAATCTCTATCTTTAACTCTCCTTCTTGCACTTTGATCTCCTTGTGTACTTGAAGAAAACTTCCCTAACTTCCCTGCTTGAATCTCCTTTTGCTCATTGACTTGTTCTCCATCAGATTCCTTCAGATCAGGGATGCCGTTGATGACTGGTGGCAAATCGGGTCCTCATTCACCTACTGGTCCCAGCTGCCAGAGGAGCCTGACAGAGAGAAAGGGGGTGGGCCTCCATACCGCTGACCGTCCTGTCTTTTTTTAGGGTGTTGGGTGGGGGGTCAATGAGATAGGCTTACTGTAGGAATGTGAGCCCTCTGAGTCGCCTGTGCTGAGAGCTCATCAGCGACTTGTGCCTCAAAAGAAACGAAGGGAACAAAACGCTGTGGGGAGACATCAGATAAAGCTCTACAACCTTATGCAACGAGCCAGGACACAGAAACACGCCATGGTTGTGGTGTTGTCAGGGAAACACTTGCTCTCCCTGAGGATGGTGGGATTATGTACAGTACAGCTCCGGCTGGCACTGAGGAGAACTGATGGTGTTTACACCAGAACACAACAACGGCAAGACAGAACAGATTGATTTGTAAGACTTTCATATGGACATTTGGTGGAATATAAACAAAACAGTGACTAGTTTTTATCTCCACAATCATATCAAGTTATATCAAGTCCCAAACATATTAATATAACTAAAGTGATAAAATAATTTGTCTTTGTGCAGCTCAAATAAAAAACAAAAGAGCAAGACAGAAAGCACCTCAAAATCTATTTAGTAAAATAAATTTTGACAGTAAGCTTTCAAGCCAACATGAATGAGAAGTCTTTCAACTAATCCAAAAAAGTCTTGTTGAAGATTGTGTGATATGATTGAAAGCTCCAAATCAGCTACTAAATGGACCTTTAGTTGAGATTTAGCAACTGCTGTGTCCAAGGTCAAGAATGAACTCAACACAATGAGATTAGACAGAGGCAGCACGGGACTCCAGCCAAAGGTAAAATGTTGAATTTGCAGTCACTTTACCTCAGTTCTCTGAAAGTTGGTTTTCAAATACAAAAGGACATAGTCTAATTAAATAGAAAGAGAAAAGACCAAGAACTTAACCCTGCACCCTCCAAAAGCTCTGGCTCATTTACGGCTGACAGCTTTGTTTGATTTTGGGGACGCAAATGTGAGCCAATTTGTGTAAAGACAAGTTCCAGGTTCACGCCACGTTTTGAACGTCTGAAGTTTGTCTCTAAACTGTGTGATTGTTTGACTGCTCGTGTTTCTTGACCCATCTGACAACTTGTTTGTTAATATCAAGTATTAACTTGGTGAGAACAATGTTATTATTGCTGATATAAATCTGCACACAATGTGTATTTAACTGGGCTGTTGAATCCGATCATGTGGCATAGATGTTGTCAGTATTGTGTATACCCTGTATTTGTCACATTTGTAACATATGTACGGATGTGTAGGAATAACGCTCAGTCTTAAGGTTTGTTGTTTGGTTGCCAAGACAACCATCAGAGCTCCATCGCTGAGCATGTTTAACAAGCTGCTTGGCAATCAGATCACATTACATGAAGTGAAAAGACTCTGAGTGACATAACACCACTCTCCTAAATCTGATGTAAATTTGACCTTTGACCTGGATTGTTGCTGTCATCCAGCAGTGCAGTCCAGACTGAGAATGGAAACAGGTTCAGTTACAAAACAAACGCACAAACTTGGGATTTCAGCGTGTTTAACCTAAAATATAACACTGGATATTATTTTCTGACTTTTTCCTAATCATCTATCAGCTTTAAGATTCATTTCCAGGAAGCCGTTGTTTTGAGTTTATTTCTACTCTCCAATAAGACACTTGACTCTTGAGCTTCATAATTTCTAGAGCTTCATAGTCCCAGATGTGTGAACAGAGATCTTGTATGTTTGTTTGGTTTTTTTGTACCTAATGGAAACAAGACAATACCAGTTTGATGGATGAGAGATGAAATAATTAAAGGACAAAGGACAATAATGACTCATAATGATGATTGCACAGAGAATTGCCACCACTTTTCAGCTCCTTTTTAGCCTCTTTTATCTCCTAGTTTTGGTTTTACAGGACATTTACAATATGGCAGCAGGCAGCTATTTTCAAGCTCTTATAAAGCCATTGTACACTACCTGCTCAGCACCAAACAACAGACAGACTAAGAGACCAGCTGGTGAAGAAAGTGGAACATCTAACTGCTAAAGAGAAAGGTATATTTCTCAGGAGACCAAACTAGAGCTAAAAGGAGAGTGAAAATTTGAAATGAATGTTGCTTTAACTATTGTTCAGTTTATTTAAACACATAAACACAATCAGCAGTTCACAGAGCAGAGGTCCTCCAATATGGCTGCTGGATGGGGTGTTATGTCACCATATCCTGTGATATGATAAATATCACTTGTTTAATTGTCTCACTTCAATCTGTATGTGGTTTACTTTGTTTTAGCACATTAACACACCTGCTGGTCACAGACACCTCACACTTCCAGCTGGTGTCAACAGTTTGGAAGTCGTTCAAAACAACGTGACCTCCTCCTGTTATCAGGTTCTCGGGTGACCTGCCAGAATGTGGAGCCATGTTGTTGTTGTGTTATTTGTTCTGCAGGTCAGAAGGTTAAATTAAAGTCGATTTGTTTTCACACCTCTTCACTGTGTTCACAGTCAGTGTATGCTTTTAGTTCAACGCAATCGGAAACGGCTGAAGTTTGTTCAGTTGCAGCTCTTCTAATGGCCTCTAGGTTGTCAGTTTATATAATGGAGAGAGCTATACCGAGTCTGTAAAGTGAAGCCAACATGGAAGTGTCTTAAACCTTCATTCTATGTAATGGCCAGCAGGTGGAGCTCCATCAGCTGCAATAAAACACCGATACCATGCTTCTCACTTGATTTATTAGCTCAGTAAACAGTTTTTCTGTTCATTTAGTAAATTTTGGTCCAATTTAGAATAAAATAGACGATAAAGTTGCGTATGCTTTCGGGGGTGGCTACCTTGTGATTGACAGGTCATTCTCAGTGTCAGACTAGGCAGTTCTGATCAGATATGAAGCAATATTCTGTTACTGTGTTGCCTATTTCTCATCTAAAATCGTTTCAGAAACATATTTTAGTGTAATGTTTAGACGAATGCAAGATTGTGTGTGACCTGACAAGCCGTCATTGTTTCCTGTTATGGACGAGTCGAAACTGGGCAGCCAGATCTTTCCACACTGAACAAATGAACTGGCCCAAAACTGTGTACAGACATTCATGATTCCCATGTCATAATCATAATAACATAAAAGTTTAATAAATTACAGTACAAATGTATTTCCAACTTATAGATATGTGGCAGTAGAAACTTATTACTCAATACTGATCATTCTCAAATAGTAGCCAGGACTTTATTTACCTCCACTGCAGGAGAACCGGGCCTTTATTTGAAACAGGCTTATTAGAAACGGGTCTTTATTTCTAATTAGATACAAACATAAAACTTATCTCAATAAATTTGGTATATTGTACATTTACTAAGTACTAATTCCATCATTACAACAGAGTCATTTCATTCTCCCCACTCTGCTAAAAACACTTTCTCTGTTTAACACTTTGTATTTTCATTCTCTAATTCATCCCTTCTCTCATTTTTCAGTCATTGGTAATGAAATTCAACAATTCTACACATCATAGTCTGAGTAGGCCTACAGCTCTTGGGGAGTATTACTGCATATGTGAAAAATTCAAGTGATGTTATTTGAGTCAGCATCAGTTTAAAGTTTAAAATTGAACAAACTTGAGTGTGTGAAGCCAGAAAGAAGTTAGCTAACCAGATCTCTGTGGCTGCCCCTTCTCTGCTTCAGGCTGGTGACCAAGGCTACATTAAGCACTCATTTTTAGTTTTTTTTTATTGTCCATTGTGAGTACGACAATTTTATAGGAGTGTAATGCTAAATCAATGGAGCACTCTTTTAAAGGTCTACCAGGGACAGTAGGAAGTATGCCCTTTGAGCCACTGGAAGGCTTTTAATGTGAAACCTCTGTGCACAAAGCAAGTTTTACCTCTATCCTTGAACATGATTTACATGATGGTTTTTATTTGATCATTTACAGTATGTAAGAGCCCAACCTGCTTACAGTCTAAACATCACCTGGTGTGTTATATTTTCACAAAGTTACAGCTAAGAGGCTCCTTCCTCCAACACTTGAGTCCCAGGAATCTGAGTCATCTGACACAGTCATTGTGTTCACATGCATGCAAGCATCCTGGTTTTGAGTCTCATGCTGTTTTTGATCATATTGGGGATATGGCGTTGGTTATTTTTATCCCTGTAAACATGGTCATAAAAGTATCCAGGTTTCTGATTGTCTGCCTGCAGCTGTGTTTTGATGTCTCACTATCTGTACCAACAGAGAATGTTCAGAAACCTGGTGTTTGCATGCCACAGTATCCAGATTTCTGAAACCAGAATAAGCTGTTTAAATGCACAAAATCTAACTAGGATACTCTAAAAACCTGTTCATAACCAGGATACTAGAGTGCATCACTCAGTGATGAATGATTGATTAGTAACTAACTGCAGATATTTTATGGTTATTTTGTGCAACAGCCAGGACAAAAAAAATCTTAATTAATGCCCCTTTGACACAGGGTTAAAAAAAATAATTTACAGTCACAGTTACAGTTACAGATCTGGGCCTGTATTCATCAAACTTATAAATTTAAAAGAAGCTTTAACTACAAATCTTTTACTACTGCTCGCAAACCTAAAAGTCCAGTGTGTAACATTTAGGAGGATCTGTTGGCAGAAATGTAATCTTATATTCATAGGTATGTTTTCATTAGTGTATAATTACCTGAATATATCATTGTGTTTTAATTACCTTAGAATGAGCCATGGGTTGCTTTCCATGGAGTTATGTTCGCTATGTTGAACTGCCATGTTTCTACAGTAGTCCAGGAGGGACAAACCAAACACTGGCTGTAGATAGGGCCTTTTACATTTTTCGCGAGTTTCACAGCCACCATAGTTTCTCCTACACACTTCACAGCCCATTCTCTTTGCCAGGTTATCAAATACATACATGAGCAGTGTTCAGTTAGTTGCAGTCTGAAACTTCTGAAAAGATGAAAGATGCCACTAAATCCTCACCCACACTCGTCCTTTAAGAATAAAAATCTTAAATTTGAGAGAGCAACAGATGTGTCTGAAGTTGGTTGGCTGCAGTCTGAGAAAAGTTCAAGCTTGAATGTATAAAATATCATTGGTCACAGAGAATAATACATGACCTGAGGTAATATGAATAATTCAGAATAGGGTAGTCCATTAATTCATTGATTTGATTCAAAGATTTTTGGGATGTTAAACAACTTGTTTTGTTTGTTTTTTGCATGTATCAGGGGTGCTAAGAACAGTTATGCTAACACTGACTCTCCACAAGCTGTTTTATCATCAACCACAAGTTTTTACTTTTTTTCTGCTGTCAGCAGATCCTCCATTTGCTTTGTGCAATGCATCGTAGGAGAATGGTGTCCATTAACAGCATTCTCAAAAATCCACTATATTTAGTTTGCATTATGTTTGGTTTGAGAATGCTTAAATGTGTTCCTTTTCCAGTGTGAACACACTAAAATCCAGCTTAGACTGAGTCTGTCATATAGGACACGCCACTTGTCTCTGTTTGGCTGTAACTGCTCAGAGCACACATGTGATCGACCATGTGATTGCTTTAAAGTTGCTCTTAAAGGTTATTTTTACACTCAAATGTAAAATTATTGCTCAGTCTCCTGTTAAAGAGACAACTCCAATGTTGTCTCTTTAGGGCATTCTTAAGTGTAATTCTTAGATGTTTGACAAATACAGGCCTAGTTACATTACCCACAAAAGGAAAAAAACAGACAAACACAAAGTCATTACTGTCGTTTGAGACTCAGTAGATAAGATAGAAATCATCGTCCTCTCAGTCCTCCTTGCAGATGATTTTGGCGTACAGGTCGTTCTCTTTGAACAACAGGTAGTCCTTTAGTCTGTTGGGCAGCTGGACAGACATCAGACCACTGCAGCTTAGGTGTTTTCTGATGACCACTCTGCTCAGATGACACAGGGAGCGAGGGTTACCTGGATCACAGAGAAGCTTTGAGGAGATGTTGTACCAATAAAGCAGGAAGAGCAGGTACACCTCCTGGTTCTAATGTGCACCTCTTTAATCTCATTGTTTTCACCACACAGTTAACTCACTTGTGGTCCCGTGAATGTGAGGCCATTCCTTGTGTTTCTCCAGGATCTTTGTCAGTTTGCCACAGAGAGAAACCGGGCCGACATAGTTGAGGAGGATCGACACGACTCTGCCCACCAGGTTCGCCAGCGAGGAGACGCTGACGAAATCACAAAACTGAACAAAGTAACGACATTGAACACAGACAGGTAGTTATACTGTTTAGACACAGCTGTAGAGGAGATATCTGCAATAAAGTGATAATGAAAAGATTTAAAATTAGAGCAATTTAACACATTTTGTAAAAACGTCATAATTTACACGTATTTCCCCAAACCCACAGATACCCATAGATAGATAGCCCTTAAAACAGATGGAGACACGTGGTTTGCTCTGTTTGGTACATATATCATACATTATTTTGATGATTCAGTTTCGATGTGCAATGCTGTGGAGATCTCCATAAAAAGCTAAGTGGACCTTCGGTTAAGAGTATTTTGTACAACGACTGTTCCCAAAAACAAAAATGAGCTTTCATGCACATTTGCTGATGTAAGAATTCCTTGTAAGATCAGGTTAGGACTGGAGTTTCATAGCATTTTAACAACTTCAAATCCAGAATCAAGTCCCCTTATTACCCAATAACATACATTTCAACATTTTCAATAGTTATAACTCAAAATGTATGATCACCTTTTGTTCGCTGAGAAGGCAGAAACGCCACAGTTTTAGTGGCTGCTAAAGTAAAGTTTATCATTTTGTGACATATTTAGATGCTTTGTTTTGTCTGACCAACTGACCTTAACTTAAACTTAAATTTAGTTTGATATAAGATAAAGAAAAGTAACAAATCCTTGTAGCTGGAACCAACTAATGTTTGGCAGTTTTGCTTGATAGATGACTCAGCAATTAATAGATTATCAAAATACTTGCAGATTGTCTGCTGATCGGTATTATTTCAACTCTGATTATTAGTTTATATGAAAAAATGCATTTTCACTGTGTGTTTGCAACTTGAATAGATTCATGGTAATAATAGAAACTGCATTGTGTAAAGGAAAGTTTTATACTTTGAAACATAATTTTAATAATTACTTGTACAGAGAAGAGAAGAACTCACAGCAACTTTTTCCTCCTGATGCTCCAAGTAATCAGACTCACTCAGGTCCTCCCAGTCGTCGTCGTGGTTACAACAGAAACACATCTCAGCATTATAGCCATTGTTGAGCAGCAGCCTCATCATCACCTCGTCCTTCAGGCAGTACTGCAGCGCCGTAGGAAACACTGTGTCGTTCACCGCCGTGAAGTAACAGTTCACGTCTGCCTTGGCTGCCAGCAGCTGCTTCACGATCTCGTAGCGGCCAGACCTGACCGCCACTAGGAGGCAGCAAAGCGGGTCCAGGTCTGGTTTGGCTCCCCACTTCAGCAGAATCTCAGTACAGGTTGCGTCCCCGTTGGAGACAGCAAAGTACAGAGGGCTTCTCCTCATGTCCCCATAATTTTCCGAGATGTGATGAGCTAACAGCGCGTTGACGTCAAAACCTTTCTGCAGCAAGAGCTCCAGGCAGTGGACATGGCCTCCGTCAGCAGCAGAGTGGACCGGGCTGTGACCAGACAGCCGCAGGGCCCGTCTAGTGGTGATCGGGATCAAAATCCTCAAAGCCCTGATGGAGAGAATGCAGAGATTATTCTATAAAAACTGAAGATCAGAAACTAACCTACATAAAAACTGGGCCCTAACATGTGACTTACTAGTACTAGTGCTTTTCTTGGAGGATGTGGATCAAACCTGTCCATTTATGATAGAAATCTGAGAAATATCTCAGATGCCACTGATTGAACTTGACAAAATGATACATGTCATTCAGGAAAGGAACTACACTGGTTTTTCACATCAAAGACTATTTACAGTTCTTGGGGAGTACTACTGCATATTTGAAAAAGTTGAACAAAACCTGGAAAGATCTGCGCGAAATCTGATAAAATGACAGGGGGCTGATTAATAAAACAACAGGAAATACTAGTGACGCACAGTGCCTCCTTTTTTGAATGAGAGTGCACATAAGTTGTAGTTGCTGCAGCATTGTTGCAGAGACATTAAGCTCTGCAAACTGCTCCCTGAAAGTTCCTGAACTATCGGAAAATCCATCAGGTGTATATAACATTGGCCTACTCACAGGTAGTGTCCTTCGTATGCGGCGTGGTGGATGGGCAGCTGGGAGCTTAGGTTGCGGATGTTGGGGTTGGCTCCGTGCTGCAGCAGGATGTCGATACAGTCTGGATTCCCCGAACCTGCTGCATCGTACAGGACGCTGTCGCCATTTGGTGCCTGGGCGTTTACATCAGCACCTTAATGTAAAAAGCAGAAAATAATCATTTTGGAGCAGGAGCACAGAGATAAAGATGGTTTTAACAATAACCTGTATGGGCACTAAAATGATTTTATCACTTTGGAATCTGTTACTTAAAGTAGCATTCCACCAATTACACATAAAGAACAATTTACTCATCATTATTGGTCCTACTCTGCCTGTGGAAACGTGTCTTCTACGGCTCTTTCAAGGCTAAGAAAATATAGTTATATAATCTTTGGCTTGTAGTCAACTAATTTATAACTGAAAGTTTGTGTTACAAGCTGGAGATGTGGAGTTTAAAAGACGTCTGCCCAAGCATGTACCAGGAAGGGAGGGTCTAATGAAAGATATTGATTAGCATTCTGGTATAATAGCATCCAGGATTTTTGGAGCTTGGCAGGGACAAAAAGTCAAGATATCTTGATGTGTGCTGCACAGATTTTGACCATCTGTTTAACAAAATTACAGAATTTCAACAAAAAAATCATCATCCAGCATCCCTTTTTCTGCCATAACTTTTGGTCACACAGAAAAACAGACTGGGTGTCAGTTTATAGTCAACAAATAATAATAATAAAGGACATTAATGAACTGATTCACAATCAGTTCTTTCTCTAAAGTTTTTATCCACACAAACTATCATGGCACACATTGAGGTAAATATTGGACTTTTTTATCCAGAAAAATTGGCTACAAAACATAATTTGGATATTTTATCCATATTTTGTTGCTCAGTTAAAATAACATTTGATTTGATTTAATTTGAAAACCTGTTTACTTGTCACAACCAACAAAAGACTGCAGAAGTCAACTTTCACAGAAGTTTGACAAAATTATTGTAATGACAGTTAGACTTTTAAGTACAAAGGCCTGCAATCAAGATAATGACACATTTAAAGGACCAGTGTGTTGGATTTATGATGAAGGTATTTCAGCTAGTTCCTAACTTGTCTGTCTGCTGTTTGGTGCCGAGCAGGTAGTGGGTTTATCAGAGCTCATTAAATCTGAAGTAAAACCAAAACTAGGAGCTAAAAGAGGCTAAAAATCTCTGTAAAGCTGCAGAGTACAGAGTAGTTCTCTGTGGGATCAAAAAAAAAGTAAACCCTTTCTAATGACACAGTCATTTGATGCATTATTAACATAAAAACATAAGAATGTGTGTGGTATAAGGGGTTCACCGTGTTGGATGAGAAGCTCCAGGACATCAGGGTGGCTGTATTCCGCAGCAATGCCCAGAGGAGTCACTCCATGCTGGTCAGTCTCTGAAACCTGACCTCCGTTCTGCAACAGGAGCTCCACAACATGAACACAGCCGGCCCTGGAGGCCTCATGCATGGCTGTCCACTTCTTCTGACACACCTGCTCCACCCGAGCTCCTCCAGCTATTAGAACGGAAACCATTTCATAAGATCCGGCTCTGACTGCTGCAGGGAGGACACAACAGGATGAGGAACTGATGACGAGGATGAACAAAAGCTTTCTATCAGGCATCACTACTTGTCTGCTGTGAAAGATAAAATATACCAAAAGGAAGTGTTGGTGGGGCACTGTTCTGACCTAAAAGCAGAGGGGATTCGTTCTTGCTGTTGGTAGTGTGAGGAGAAGCTCCGTGATCCAGTAGCATCTTCACGTTTTTCGCCCAACCAGCTCCCACTGCTAAAGTCAGGAAGGTCTCACCGTCCGAGGTCTTTTCCTCCAGAGTCAGACTGAAAGACGCTGAAGCACACAACAAGAGTTATACATTCTCTCACTGAATTCAGCACTAGAAGGACAATCAGCAGTCACCGTCACTCCATAAACAACAGTTGTTAAATGCACAATGAGGCAGTTCTCTTCACTTCTGTGATGATGTCAGGTGAAATAAAAGTTTGGACCTCTTACCCACCGTACAGCACCGTCTCCAGGACCAGCACCAGTGGTTGGACTGCTGCCCTGTGCAGAGGATACCAGCCACACTCATCCACCTGACTGAAGGCTTCTGGGAAATCACAGAGCTCCTGCAGTGCCAACATGTCACCTGAATAAACAGTTTGGAGAGTTTATTTAAAACTTTTTGTTGATCAGGCAATCTGCAATTTTACCAATAGATGCCACTAAATCCTACACTTTAATGCTTGTTTGTCTTCTTATTTAGGACTACATTACCAGACTTGGACTTTTTACCTTGTTTAATGGCCTCCACAAGCTTCACAGCTTCACTCCTGAATGTACAAACAGGAAGATGAAGGTACATTTATAAGAAATGCAACATATGACACTTTGGTATGGATGGTGAAGGTGTTTCATGTAGCTGTACCACCTTGATCCTCTCTGACATGACTCCTGTATGCTCATCTGAACATCATAGTCCAGAAGTTCATCTTCATCCATTTCATCAGCTGCATCCATCCTTCTGACATCATACAGATACAGGTAAACAAAGAAACAACTTCACACACACACACACTACAGTTTTTAACAGCATAAGCAATAACATTAATGCCTGATAAAATAAACCTAATCTCGACACTCAAACTAAATCCTTGAAAACTCTCTGGGTAATAATCGGTTAATCACTAACCTCACACAGTTTATTCAAATTAAGAGACAAATTTAGACTTGACGCAAAAGTTCTGCATGAATGCAACGCTTCTGAAAGTAGTATTGATTCCACTGCTCTGTTCTTGAGCTTTATACTATCAGCTCTATTTTCACTTTGACCCCTGACCTTCTTAATCAGATACAATTATTCTCAAACAAGTGGCACGTGGAGGCATTGTTACTGACAAGTAGTACTTAGCTTAAAATAAAAATAAGGTAATTTCCAAAGCTAGTTATTTAAATGTGCTCAATAATTAAAATGCATAATATCTGAACAGTTACATTTGAACATCACCACAATCCAGACACATCATCAGGTATAGACAAACGTGTTTTGTCACTGTTAGCTAGCTGATGTTCCCACAAGTGCAGTGTGTCAGTAGAAGCTAAAAAGCATGAGGTGAGGAAATATGACCCTTGTCAAATCAGCCACAAAAACTGTCGCAGCTCCGGAGACACTTAAACACAAAGCACCTGGGATGTGTTGGGAAGCAAAAGAGTATTTTCCTTAGAATATTCCTAAGGAAATGGGACAGGCTTCAATGTATCTGTCTGTGGCCAAACCAATGTAAGTTCTTTGGCCAAACTACATGGTACCGGACCAACTGGCATCCTTCGAGGAAGTACTGGCAGCTACTTGGGTGGGCTGCTTAAGAGGTTAGCATAGAAGCCGCTAGCGTCAGTTATATCAGAACTGGAGAGTATTTTTTAAAGACTGTTTTTGCATTCCTCCCGACTGGCTTTGGTGATAGTTTGTCTATGTTATATGCTGGCTGATCCGATTGGTTGAAGTTCGACCGTATATTTTGAAAGTGCCTGCCCCTTTCCACAGTTCCAACAGTTTCTAAGGATCACTTGGTTCTGTGTAACAAACCACCTGGCACACTCAAGGTTAGAAAGTCATTAACAACTCATTTAAAAGCCACGTTGCTATACGATACATTTATTTTTGCCATTACAGCTGACAGTGGCATAGCACACATTTACAGATCAGTCTGTTTTTTACAACCCACAGAAGTGGGCCTTATGTTGCGAAAGCTTGGGAACCCCTGAGATACAACATTGGTGATCCAAGCACTCCAGAAATACATAGTCTTAACAATTTGACATCATTCTGTATAGGAGAACTTGAAAAATACATCAGAAATATCAAAAAACCTACATTTAATCATTCTCACCTGAGAAATGTGTCAGTGTTGGAGTCATAAGACGAAGCAGCAGCACAGTGTTTGTTTCATAGCTGGACTCCCCGCCCCCCCGGCCCTCCCCCATCATCACACACACTAACACACACACTCCAAAGCACTATTTATAGGTGTCACCTGTTCCAGTGTATTTAACATGCAGGCCGTTCCACAGCACCTAATGGAGTGTAATGTCACTCTGCACACATTATTTTCCACAGTTAATGACGAACTATAATGAGCCGGACTGTTGTATGAATATTTATTGTGTCATTATGATTCATCAGACAGCAACAACGTTTTAACTACAGAGGGGATCCGTCCGCCTAGAGCTCAAACACTGTTAGACAACAAATCGATGAGAACCTGTTGAAATAATGAAGAGTGAAATGACTGACGGTTGCTTAACCTTTTCTCCATCTGCTGCAGATTTACAGCTCTGATCTTTGACCTCACACTTGATTTGCATGTTGATGGTCATATTGAGACTTTACTGTCAGCTTAAAATTTGCACTTCAGTCAGAAGAGCTTTGTTTTGCATGTTTTTGCCTTTTTACTACAAAACACTGACGCTCAATAATAGCTATTAGTTTAGAGAATTGTAAATGTTTTGCCTGACAATTCATATACTGGCTATTTACATTGTAAAAGAACATAATCATTAATAATTAAACATAATTAATAATAGATTTTCAAATACAACCTTTTACCCTTTGCTGCGTATCATCCCTTCTCTCGCTCTCTATCCCCTTTCCTGTCTATCTTCAGCTGTATTATCTAATAAAAGGGAAAAAGACCCCCCAAAAATTATTTTAAAAAAACAGTATTGTGCTTATCCAAACTAAAGCTTAATAAAATAGTTACATCCTTTCAAAACAATTAGGGACTCTTGCAGAGAAAATCCACATATCTTCACATGGTATGTTCAGGGTCCTGGCTGTAGAGGTCGAGCTCCTGGTACAGTATGAAGTTTTTCAATCTGGGGGGGAAACACGAGTTCATGATATCAGGGTTGTTGAGTCTCTTCAGGGTCAGACGCCTCCTGATCTCCAGTCTGCAGAGGTGTCTGAGGGAGCGAGCACTGCCTGGAGAGCAAGGTTGAGATAAAAATGTAATTAATGACACGCACAACTGAAAGAATGAAAAACAATTATACAGAGGAGAGACAAGAGGAAAGAATTAGGAAAGAGAGAACACTAAAAAACGCACAGTGCTGCTAGTGCCCCCTTGAGGCTGCAGTGATCATTACAACCACAATGGTAAGATATTCAACATAATGATGATCTTAGCAGTAGTGGAGCTAAAATATAAAGTTTGTCCTGAGGATGGCGCTAGAGGAAGGATCAGGGAATCATGAAAATATAAAGGATTCATTCTCTGGAGAGCAGGAATGTGATCAGGACAGTTATTAAAAACTGAGCTACAGAATTTGATATTTTGCAAGAGAAGAGGCCAAGGGGTGATGAAAACCATTAGGAATGATCCTCTAGGGATTCAAGATTCAAGATTCAAGACTTTATTTGCCATTTGTGTAGCTGCTGCACACCATAAGGAAGACTCGTGTTGCGGTGTGTTGCTCAGAGAGTCAAGTCAAATTTAAAAAGACACACAATGAAAGATCACATACATCTATAACATATACTTCTCTAGAAATAAGAAAGTGCATAAGACCCTATATAAAAGAGAAAGTGAGAGCATTATAAATTGCACAAAACCCTATATAGAAGGGAGCATTGATATCAACTTAAAAGCAGTGATAATCGATATTTTTTATAATAAATATGTATCATGTGACAAGGTGAGAGACTTGTGGTAACATGGAAACTACAGAGAATTAGCCACTGAATCTGTAGTTCTCCTTTATTTTATTGAGCTTTATAGTGAGTTTCATCTCATAGTTTAGCTGCCCAGTCTCCAACTTTATTGTTCACTTTTTTCAGCCACACCAGGCAGCTGTTTTCAGAGAAAAAGCTCTAAGAACCCAATGTACTCAAGAGAGTGCCGGTTTAAATATCATGCTATTCTGTAGTTGTTGAAAAACTGCCGTCTGGATCAAAAGACAGACAAACAGAACATTATTGGTAATGCAAAAATAGCTCAGAAGCAGAAGCCATTCATCAACTGATACTGGCATTTGCAGTGTGATGCCTGTTTGTTCGGTTTGTTTCATGCCATTAGTGTGTGATAATTTCTTCAGATGTTAGTTGCAGGTGAGGCGGTGCACCTCTGCTATAACATTCATCATCACGGATAAACTTACTGAGGATGTCACATATTTCGGGCCACTCTGTCTGTTTCTCCAAGATGAGTCTGAGTTTGGAGCAGATGTGGACGTGGCTGACGTAGTCCAGCAGGATCCGGACCACGCTCCCGGACAGATGCACGATGCAGCAGAGGCTCATGAACTCACAGAACTGGTGAGAGGATGGACATCAGTAGTATATATAGTATAGTGTATAAATCTGAAGTAAAATGAACGTTAAAGAGAAAACATTTGAAACATTAGCCAAAACTTAGGTCTGCACCAGGTAACTTTTTTAAAAATAACTTTTTGTCATATTTAATAAATCTAGTGAAAAATTTCAATATATACCTACAGTAGTCATTCCCAAATCAAATATGGACGTTTTGGTTTGTGGCTTGAAGATAGTTAATGCTTGAGTCTCATTACCAAATTGTCTGTACATGTACTACTGTCAGGAAGTTTCAGCAAATATGAAAAAAAGTACTTTTTTATAAAAGTTATCTACTGCACCTGTTAATGTTATATGTATTTATGAGATTTAAAACATTATTATAGCAGCAAACAACCATTTGCTATGTAAAGATATTGTGGAGTAATTGTGTCTTGAACAAAGAATGGCGTCTCCCTTTGCCTGTTCTATCCTGTCTGTGGTTTGTTTACAAAGTGGGGTTGGCCACGTGTGCATAGTTAGTGCATGTGAATCCCTCTGTGTACAACTGAAAATAGCGACTGTTTTCCTCATCTACATCAGTGAATTTAAGGATTTATTTTGACCAAAGCAGAGTTGGTTATTGTTGTAACAGTAGAAAGACTAAAAAGAAGGTTTTGGTGGGTTTTATTTTGTTTCCGTCCACTTTCGGTGAAGTTATGATGTTATGATGATCTACAAGGTAAAATTACTGTTGTTTTCTAAGGGGTCTTGTGGCTAGCAAGGTTTCTGATCTGGCAAACATGATGCTGTTTCTGGGTAACTGGTCTGGTCTATCTATCTAGGGATCCTCTCTCCATAATGTTGTCAGACCATAAACAGAACCTGTTTGCGTTGATTCTGGAGCCTATCCAGTCTTTTACTTTTCGCCTTGAAATATAAAGTAGCTGCCTAGGAGCACAAACTTCCTACAGTCTCTGCTGGTTGCCTGGCAACTGATCGAGAATTAGTCCGGCCTTGTACAATGGTGAATTGTTGTTTTTACACATATGAGTATTTCCATCCATTTTCTATACCCGCTTGTTCTTTGGAGGGTCACAGGGATTTGGAGCCGATCCCAACTGTGGGAGCACAAAAAGGAAACCCACGCAGACACAGGGAGAACATGCAAACTCCACACAGAGGGGCCCCAACCACAGAAAAGCCAGGCACACGTCGCTAACCAGATGGTGGATGTAGTCTTATATTTAACGGACAGATATGATGTTAACCTTCTCATTTAACTCTTCCACAGAAACCATTAAAGCATGTTTCCCAAAATATAATAAACTATTTCTTTAGGGAAAACAAAAAAAGAAAATAAGTAACAGCTTTCACTCACTGGAATTTTCCTCTCCATCTCATCCACAGCATCAAAAGCGTTGTCATGGTGACAGTGAAAGCACCTCTCCACCTTGTAGCCGTTGTTGAGCAGCAGCCTCATCATCACCTCGTCCTTTAGGCAGTACTGCAGTGCCGTGGGAAACACTGTGTTGCTCACCACCGTGAAGTAACAGTTCACATCTGCTTTGGCTGCCAGCAGCAGCTTCACTATCTCGTAGTACCCAGACCGGACCGCCACCAGGAGGCAGCACAGTGGGTCCAGGTCTGTCTTCGCCCCGGCCGCTAACAGGACACTGGTGCAATCCACGTCCCCATTGGATACTGCAAAGTACAAGGCGCTCCTCCTCATGTCCCGGTAGTTTTCGGAGTTTCTGGTGTTCATGCAGTAGTTGACGTCGAGGCCATAGCTCAACAGGAGCTCCAGGCAGCGGCTCTGGCCTCCATCCGCTGCAGAGTGGACTGGGCTCTGACCTGCCTCCTTGATGGCCTTCTTAGTGGTCAGAGGTATCAGCATCTTCAGAGCACTGTGGGGGAAAGGAAACAAGGGTGCAATCATTTAATAAGAACCAAGAGTTCAAAAAGACTTTGAGTCTAAAGGTCCGGTCCGGGGGAGAAGTAATTCTTTGTGCATTTTTCATATTGAGTTCAGTTTTGGTGAACTAAAGTGAATTTGTTGACCAATAGCAAGCTGTGTTAACAATGCTGACCTTCGAGGGGATAGAGAGCTAAAGAGTCCAAAATGGAGGAAGCTATCTTATTTTAAAAGCTGTGTGTCACCATCTACTCTTAGCCATTAACCCTGAAAGCAGTCACCACCTATTTTACAAAGACGCCTGTATGAATTTCACTTTCTGGCGTGAGCGGCCCACAGGCGTCCTCTACAGGATGCAGTGTTCATTACAACCCACGGTCTGACAGTGTTTGACAGGAGGAGCTCACTCGTAGTGCCCGGCGTGCGCTGCCTTGTGGATGGGGAGGTGTCCGGTCATGCTGGGCAGGTTGGGGTCAGCTCCATTGTCCAGCAGCAGCTGAATGCAGGCCGTGTTTCCTGATCCGGCCGCGTCCAACAGGACACTTTCCCCATTACAGGCCTGAGAGTTCACTCGGCTACCTGAGCAGGGAAGAGAGGGAAGAAAGAAGACTTTTGCCCAACTAAAAATGGAAACAAGTGACTAACAATAAATCCCTCACACTGTCAGAACTAGTCAAATGTTTTGGTACAAAGACCTTTGTCAAGAAAATAGTTTAATTTAAATGTATTGTAATATACAGTATTGCACGTATTGCCTTTGTGAAAGCC